TCCTCTCTCTCTCTCTCTCTCTCTCTCTCTCTCTCTCTCTCTCTCTCTTTCCTCTCTGCTCTCTTCGCTACTGGCTTCTGACGGAGTCTGGGTTAGGTGAGCCTGAGTGTGGGTGAGTCTGAGTACGGGTACGTCTGTGTGCGCCTGACTCTGAAGAAATGAATCTGAGTGTGAGTGAGTTTGTGTATGAGTGAGTCTGGGTGCGAGTCTGAATCCCAATGGTGCCCCTGGCAGTGTCTGGCGACTAGGAGGCCCGGGTCGACTCCTCTTTGGGAAGCCAAAATGCTGCCCCTGGCAGCGTTTGGTGACTATGAAGCCCCTGGTGGGCCCCCCCTGGGGCTCCCAAATGATGCCCCTGGCAGCGTTTTGCGACCATGAGGTTCTCAAGAGATACATGTTGGGGGCGCCAAACGGCAATTCTAGCTGAGACGTCCCACCAAAATCGGCGCGAACGGGCTCGTGAGATCAGCCAGGGTGGCTCCCCCTTGGGGCTCCCAAATGATGCCCCCTGGCAGCGTTTTGCGACCATGAGGCTCTCAAGAGATACATGTTGGGGGCGCCAAACGGCAATTCTAGCTGAGACGTCCCACCAAAATCGCGCGAACGGGGCGAACGAGCTCGTGATATCAGCAGGGTGGCTCCCCTCCCTTGGGGCTTCCCAATGATATGCCCCCTGGCAGCGTTTGCCGACCATGGGCCTCTCAGAGAGACATGTTGGGGAGGCCAAACGCAATTTTAGTTGAGCCGTCCCACCAAATCGCGCGAACGGGCTCGTGAGATCAGCCAGGGTGGCTCCCCCTTGGGGCTCCCAAATGATGCCCCTGGCAGCGTTTTGCGACCATGAGGCTCTCAAGAGAGACATGTTGGGGAGGCCAAACGGCAATTCTAGCTGAGACGTCCCACCAAAATCGGCGCGAACGGGCTCGTGAGATCAGCCAGGGTGGCTCCCCCTTGGGGCTCCCAAATGATGCCCCTGGCAGCGTTTTGTGACCATGAGGCTCTCAAGAGATACATGTTGGGGAGGCCAAACGGCAATTCTAGCTGAGACGTCCCACCAAAATCGGCGCGAACGGGCTCGTGAGATCAGCCAGGGTGGCTCCCCCTTGGGGCTCCCAAATGATGCCCCTGGCAGCGTTTTGTGATCATGAGAGAGTGTGAGTGTGAGTGAATGTGACTGTGAGTGAGTCTGAGTGAGAGTGAGTCTCATATTATCTTATCGAGTCCTATCTTACCTTACCTTTATTACCCTCTATCTTATCTTATATTGAAATCTCTTATCTTGTCTTAGCTTATCTTATATCAACTCATCATATCGCATCATATATTGTCTTATCTTATTACTCCATAGGCTGTCTTATCGTATATAATATCATACCTTGTCATATATATTACCTTACCTTATCATATCTTGTGCTATCTTATCTTATCTTGTAGTATATTAGCTTGTCTTGTCTTATCTGGTGATTATCATTGGGAGGAGGGAGGCGCGAGCGGGAGGAAGAAGGAGGAGGAGGAGTGGGAGGCGTCAGAGTAATAACAAGAACCCCAATCCTTAGGATATGGGGAAAAAAACGTAGGGATTGCACGACCGAGGAACCTCACATACTCAATGGATGGGATTCATGCGCATATCCTGGCGCCCCCTGACGTGTCTGTCGAGAAAAATAACACGCCTGTCACGCTTTGCGACCCTACAACGGATATCGTTCGCACCCTCAGCGCACCCCCTTGTGGTATCGAGTATGTGCCACGCCTGCCACGCTGTGCCACCCTACAACGGATAGCGCGCCCACCCTCAGCACACACCTCATGGTACCGAGAGAAGTACCACGCCTGGCACACTTTGCGACCCTACATCGGATAGCGCCCCCACCCTCAGCGCACACCCTACGATGTCGAGAAAGTGCCACGCCTGCCACACTCTGCGACCCTGCAACGGATAGCGCCCCCACCTTCAGCAAATCATTGTGCCACGCCTGCCACGATTTACGACACCACAACGAAAAGCGCCCCCACCCTCAGTGCACCCCCTGTGGTGTCGAGGACGTACCACGTCTGCCACTCTCTGCGACACTACAACGGACAGCGCCGCTCCCTCAGAGACGCAACAGGGTCTCCCTGTACACTGATTTGGTTGCCTCTCATTGCGTCCCGAGCGGAGCTCGCCGTGACCACAAAAAAGAAACTCAGCCACGATTGCCATCGCCACTGAAGAGGGGCCTCGTCGCCATGGACTGTCTCTTGCAGCTCCGTATGAAGCGCACACCATCGATGACACGCAGTCGTCCATGTCCTCACAGCAGCTGCGAGGTGCAGGGCGGACGTAGAATGGAAGGGGACCGGAAGTCCGAAGGTGTCGAGGTTGTACTCGCTTTGCGTGCGCAACCAGTTCCCTGGTCCACGGACCAGTTTGCGCAGCATGTGACGCTCTGTGGCAAGCAGGCCGCTTGTAGGACCAACCAGCTGCACAACGAAATTGAGAACATTGATGGCCAAGAAATTGTACAGCAATGTTGAAGCAGGAAGTCCAAGACAAATGTCGTAGACGTACTCCACTCTTGAAGTGTACTTGCGGATCGGGGCAGACAGTGAAGAGGCGCCAGCATTTGGCCCAGACGAGTCCCAAATAATTACCAGACAACGCTTTCTCGAACTGGCTCCACTCTGGGATTTCCTCCTGGATCAGCTGGGCAAAACGGTGCAAGGAGATGTTCCACAGAGGGATTATTATAAATATTTGCGCTTGGCTTCGAAGGTTCGATCTGCTCGAAAACTTGCGGAACTACCAACTGACAATTGGTCCCCCCATGCAAATGCGTGAGGACTATAGCAATGTCGTCCGCGAATGCCCGGACCAACGACTTCCCGCTCAAGTGGGACGGCATCGCCTTCAGGAACGGGTCCGGGGCGATGATGAAAAGATCAGGGCTGAGAAGGCAACCTTGCTTCACTCCTGAGGTTATTGCGAAGGCCTTACGGCCGGTGCCGCCGACCCTGAAGACGACGAGGCTGACCAGACCTCTTGGGGCACTCTGGGCTTGCGTTGGCACTTTTTCCAGCCTTGGAACCCCTAGGGTGGGGTGCGTATCTGACCCTCCCCCCCTCCACCCCTGTCGGGGCCACCCCCACCCCTCGACGGGGGAGGGATCAAAGGGAAGGGGCTCCCCTTCGATTCGATTACGACATTGCTAGGTTTTTCTCTCGCTGACAGGCTTGACGGATGTCAGGGTCGGCGGATGTCGGTTAGGCCCTAGAAGGATTGTGGCTTCTTGGACGACACCAACGGAAGCCGACTCGAACGGATAAACCCCTCACACACGCCGACAGGGTCGGCGGATTTCAAACACGAGAGATATCATGCCACCGAATCTCCAGAAGAGGCAGTTGCGAACGCAGAGTTGCTGGATTTCCCGAATAATTCTGGTGGGCACTCCGATGATCTCCAATACCATCCAAAGATATCACAATGACAAGCTTGGGAAAACAGCCCCGAAATCGTTCAGTAAGCATGCTGGGGTATCTGTAGCCGGCAATGTTGGTGGGTCAGCGGCGTTGGCAGCGTCACAGGAGAAGGCGGCCGTTGCCATTCGCGTCTCGACTTCCAACACATTGTCCAGCAGTTGCCATCCCTGGATAAACCCACGCTGAGTTGTCGCTGCCGACTGGCTGACTGCAGGCTTAAGCAGGTGGTTCACGGCTGAAGCGATAATATTGACGTCTGTTTTGCCTAAAGAGAGGGGGCGCGTGTCCTCGAGAGGCTTGAGACCAGGGAGACCCGTGGCAGACTCAGGTGCGTCTTCGTCCCAGGCCGCTGTGTAGTCCCGGGTGCATGCCAGTCTTCATGCCATCGATCCTGAAGGTGTTGTCCGTCGGTGCCTCGGCCGATGGCGTGACCGCATAAGGCCAGCACGGGTGGGTGCTATTGCTGAGCATGTAACTCAAAATCGGTCTCGTCTCAGCTGCAGCGTACCACCAGCCTTGGTTTCCGTCTGCTTTCGCAATCTTTTCAATGGGGGGATTTGTGCCCGGCGCTTCCAGCAATGGGCGCCGTGTCTTTGCTGTATGAGAAAATGTGCATCCGATTCGATAGAGCATTATTGGCGTTGCCCTGTCCTGATGGCAGCAGCCAGCCGGCACCCTCGAAAACATGTTACCGAGTGGACGTTCTGCGATTTCCTCCTCGGGAGGGCCTGGAGGGATTCGTGCGAATACGTATCTATACACGTGAATCGTTGCTACACTTAAGTCAGGCCTGTCCCTCTACAACAGGATTGTTCAAGAATAGCCAAAAAATAGTACGGGGACGAGTTGTTCACTACTTTTGAATATGTTTTGACTATTTTTGACTTTTCACCCAAAATCCGCCTGTAGGAGGACATGCCGCCCGACCGAATGCTACACCGCCACAGCCCACCTACGACACCAGAACGGCGCAGTGAACCCTTACTGTTTATACAAATCCCAATTCCGAGGCGTTATGGAACGCATGCAAAGCTCCACTCGCCTTGCATCGGGACCCTCCTCCCTCTCTTCCCCTCCCACTCCTGCGCTCCACCGTTGCAGCAAGGGGCGTTTTTCATCGAACAAACCTGTCGGCATTGAGGCTGCAGGGTAATCCGCAGCATGGGCCGCAGCTTTCCTTCTCTTCTCCGCTCCCCGCTGGGAAGGATGGAAAGAGCCACACTTTGTTGGCGCTCGCCCGTGCTCCAATTCGGTGCTCAAGGAAGACTGTCAAGCCATGGGGACCTCAGCTTGGGGTGGAAGCTGTCCCCGGCCAAACCGTGTGCATGCCCCAGGAATCAAGGAAAGCTCCCCTACCTTCAGCGCACCCCCTTGCTGTGTCGGAGAGATGCCACGCTTGCCACGAATGACTCTGTCTGCCCCGGTATAGGGTGGTATGTTCGGTTACGTATATGTGCGCGCGTGTCGGATGTGAGTGCAGTGTATGGGTTGCGTGGTGATGCCATGTAGAAGCCGTATGTGTTGCGTGCGTTTGGTGTGTATGATGTGGTGAACGCACCAGAGGGTATGTGGCTATGCCTGCGTCTGCGTTTGTGTGTGTGTTGTATGTGGCTGATGTGCCTGCATCCGTGTATTACATATGTCTCTGACGTGGCCGTGTAGTTGATGTCGGTGCCGTGTATGCGTTGCGCGCTTGTTACACGTGATGCTAGCAACGGAGCGCGTATCTGGCATGGTGTGCGTCACGTGTTGTGCATGCTGTGTGTGTGTGTGGAGCCTCGCGGGTTCAACGCGGGCGGGAAGAAGACCAGAACCACATTGCGCGCAGGGAGCATCAGGAGCAGACAGACAAGCGAACAAACCAAAACGCGCGCCGCCTCCAGACGACGTGGGTGGACTGCTCCCGCGGGCAGCTGTTCTCGGGCTTCTCCCGCGCCGTCAACGCGCTGTCCCTGAGGGACCGCGCGCGGCCGAGAGAGACGTCTGCCTCCCCCCCCCCGCGCAGTCGGCGCAGGAGGGGGACGAGGGACCAGGGAGGACGAGGGAGGAGGAGGAGGAGGAGGAGGAGGAGGAGGAGGAGGAGGAGGAGGAGGAGGAGGAGGAGGAGGAGGAAGGGGAGGAGGAGGAAGGGGAGGAGGAGGAAGACGATAAGGAGAATAAGGACGGGGAGGGGTGGGAGGGGGAAGAGGAGGAGGGGGAGGAGGAGGAGGAGGAGGAGGGGCGGTGAGATGAAAAGAGAGGAGAGCAAGAGGAGGAGGAGGAGGAGGAGGAGAAGGAGGAAGAGTACCAGAGTAGACCCAAGATGCATTAGCGTTGTTTCAATGCATCCTCCCGTCTTCAGTCCCCTCCCCACACGTCCCCACAAGCTGTTCTTCTAACTACGAGAAGCGCCCCCTGTGAAACACCAGCGCCATATGGGCCTGCCATTTGGGCGAGAGCCCCGTGCTGAAAGGGGACCGCCTTGTACCTTTCTGGCGCAGAACCAGGACTGCGAAGCCTATGACATGTGGTTTGGCGAGGTGTCCGGCGAGATCTCCCTGTCGGCCAAGGACCGCACCCCAGCCCGGCAAGTCCTTGGCTGCGCGAGCTCACATCCGCGGCAGGGGCTCGCGAGGAGTTCGCAGGCGAGGGGCCCCGTTGTGAGAGGGATACCCCCCCTCGGTCCGTGCAGCCCTGCGTCACGCGTGAGACGAGCTCGCGGGGCGCCATGTCGAGCGCCCCGTGTTCGGAAACTGGAGCATATACATTATCAGTGGTGGGCTGTGTTTCGATCCCGGGACTTCTTGAGGGTCGGGGACGACGCTGGGGTGGTGTGGTGTATATGTTTTGTCCCCGGTGTCCCGGGGAAACAACGGAAAATGTATACACCAGGGTCTTCTATACACCAGGATCCGCTCTCCAGTGCAAAATTCCAATGCAGGGCCGGAAGAAGCGTCGGTGTATAGAGTTCGATTCCCCACACGTTGCGCTTCAGGATCACCAACGGCTGGAAAGTTTTGAGCGCAACGCCGGGCCCGCCCCACCGACGCGTTCACTCTAGGCTTAAGTCGGGCCTGTCCCTCTACAGGAGGAGTATTCAAAAATAGTCCAAAAATAGTCAGGGGGGATTTTTCACTATTTTTCAAGATTTGCAGGGCATTTTTTTGTATTTTTCATTTTTCGCCCAGAATCCCCCTGTAGGGGGACACGCCCGACTTAACTCTAGGCATCAATGAGGCAAGGGATGGAGGAGCAGGAGGAGGATGATGAGGAGGAGGAGGGAAGCGGGGGCAGCCACGGAAAAGCTAACGTTTTTCTCTGCCGTGTTTGCCCCCTTCGTCTAGAAGCAATTCCGGACGGCCGGAGTGACGGCCAGGGGTGCCATTGCGAGGCGTGTATGCCCCTCACCCGCGTGCCTTCCTCTCCCTGCTCCTCCCAGGTCTCTTCCAAACCTTCCTCTGCCTCCTCCGCCCCACAATCATCATAAGCGGCAGCATCATCACCGTCATCAGTTTCATCTTTACAGTCACATGCATGGACAATTGTGGTCATCAGACTCATGCACACACCTATACGACCACCCTTCGGATCACAAGGAGGGGCAGGGGAAATAGTCAACTGCTGGCAACTGCGATGGGCGTGATGATGACGATGCTGGTGGCGCGCCTTCGAGTTGGCGAAGACGCGAGATGACGATGTTGCGCCGCGATTTGATGTCACTATCGACCCTCTGTCGATCTCACAATCGATCCCACCATCGATCTCACTCTCGATCTCGCAATCGATCGCACTATCGACCTCACTATCGATTGCACTATCGATTCAACTATCGATCTCACCATCGATCTCACTGCCGTTCGCACGATCGATACAACTACGATCTCACGGTCGATGTCATTATCGATCCAATTATCGATCTCACGACCGATCTGACCACATCGCGGTCGTTATCGATCTCGCTATCGATCTCACTATCGATCGGGACACCATCGGGACACAACGGCGGGACACCGCGGGATACCTCGGGACACCACTGGACACCACAGGACACCACGGGACACCACGAGATACCATCGAGACACGAGACACCATCGAGACATCACGGCGGGACACTGCGGGACACCACGGCGGGACACCAGCCACCGCGCGCTCACAGGAGGGCCAGACTTTTGTATCCACATCGCCCTAGCGACGGTGGGATCATTCCTCGCGCGCGCCCACGGCGAGAAACCGCGGGACACCATCGGGACACCGCGAGACACCACGGCGGGATACCCCCAGCCACAGCGCGCCCACCGGAGGGCCAGACTGTTGCTTCCGAATCGCCCTAGCGACGGCGGGATCATTCCTCTCGCACGCCCACGCAGCGTCGCCTCGCCCGCACGCACGACACGAACACGAAACCGAAACTGATTTCCCAGTGTAAGGCTCTCCGTTCCACTGCGATCTCACCTTCCAACCTCTGATTCGTTATCATTGTCGTCAGCAGCATCAGTATCAGCATCATCATCATTATCATCATAACCATCAGAGTCAGAGAAAGAGTCAGCATCAGCATCATCATCAACATCATCATCATCAGCATCATCATCATCATCATGACCATCATCATCATCATCATCAGCAGCATCAGCATCAGCATCATCATCGCCATCATCGTCGTCATCAGCATCATCCTTCAGAAATAGGGCGACTTCATGCAGGAGGTGCTTCAAGAATGGCGCATCGAGGACCAGTTGAGGGGTATTCATTCGGAAGGAAAGCAAGAAAAAGGGAGGCGGTGCAAGCGCATCTACAGGCTGGGAGGAGATTGTACTGGTAGTCTCTTGAGGCGCGTGTTACATTTGAAAGGCGAAGCAAGAGGAGGACGAGAAGGAGACGGACGAGGATGGAGCAGGAAAGAGGCGGCAGGAGAAGGAGGAGGACAGGACAAGACAAGACCGGAGACGGAGGGGAGCAGACAGTAGAGTGGACGACAAGGGAGAAGGGGGTTGAGCAAGCGGCCCCAAGGGACAGCACGGATTGTTGCTGCTCTCCGACACGGTGCTCTTTCACAGCGACGTCGATTTGAGGCTGAGCTGTTGTTGCTGCTACTGCTCCTCCTCATCCTCATCAGCACACGTGTCCCCACATCCTAGGCAGGGCTGTGACTTTCGTCCCCACCCGCGCCCCACCCGCGACACCCTCATCCTCCCTCTTCATCATCATTACTCCTTCCCCCCACGTACACTAATACATAGACCCATGCACATGCGCACACACGCGTGTGTATACATATATATATATACACCTACATACATACATACATACATACATACATACATACATACGTACGTACGTACGTACGTACATACATACACGCCAATGCACATGCAGATACACATGCACACACAGATTCCACACAGGTATCCACAATCATTCGGCGTCGCGGCCACGCGTGCAGCAGCGCGGCGGAGTCAGACCCGCGGAAGCGACGAGAGAGGGTGGAGCGGAGGCCGCGGCCGCACGTACAAAGCCCAAGCCGTGCAGGGCGAGCAGGGGTTGGCATGTCCTCGCCAGCCGCGGGAGTGCGCACGGGGTGGGCCCTCGCCCCGTCCCGCACCGCATATCGCGCGGCGGGGGCTGCACCTCCTCGCCAACCGAGGTGCGCACCGGGTGGGCCCCGGGTCCGTCCCATCGCAAGCTGCGCGGCAGGGGTGGCATTTCCCCGAGAAGTTCCCGCGAGGTTTCCCAGCGGCGTCTGGGAGGCTTCCAAGAGACTTCCGAGGGGCTTTGGAGAAGCAGAGGCTTCCCCATGGACATCCGAGAGGTTTCCGGGACTGTGCGGAGAGGCTTCCGATGAGTTTCCAGACGATTTAGGCTGGGCCTGAGGATTCACACCATGGATTCCCATGTAAGTCGAGGCAGGCATTTGAGGTTGGTGCAGTTTGGCCGGAAGCGTTCTCCCGTCCTCACACCAGTCGAATCCGAAGCCAGCCCTCACCCTTGAGAATTCGGCACGATCGTGCCCCATTGACGTTCAGGCCGTCTCTTGATTCGGAGGCGGTACACCTTGGGCTTTTTTTGTCGGCTTGCGTCTTGATGCTCTCTCGCGAGTCCCTGGTGGTGTTGCGAGCGGGCTTCGTTGTAGTTCGACCAAGTTGGACGTTGGATAGAGTTGCCGCAGCTGAGCACACTGCTCTTCCAGGGCCACGCGGCGGAAGTCGACGTGGGTTTTCTTCTGGATAAGAACGGACCGCGAGAGGAAACAACCGAAAGCTCTGGCAAAGAATGTTTGTGCAGGAGAGGTTCGCACTTCGGAAACGAATGTTTAGTGCAGATTCGCTTGTGCAAAGAGTTCGACTTGTGAGTATGGAACATACAAGATGTGCAACCAGTTGCCGCCTTGGGATCCGGCGACCTCGTCGCCGCGGTAGGGCGCACGGCCACAATGACGGTGAGCTCAATCGGGGAGGGGGGCAAAGACGTAATCGGTGAATGAAAGGCGCGGAGATGACCGAAAGCTTCACGTGCGTTCGCAGCCTGGAGCGAATGCGGAGTCTGCGCGGCGCCATTGCCAGCGTGCTCCACGCGAGTGTGCGGATCGAGACATGCGTTTCCTAATGAGTTCCGAAGTGCTTTTAAGGGGATGGGGCCTCCGATTTCATTGGCTATCCTCTCTCCGACCGTATCTGCACCCGCGATCACTTTGCAACGATTTGGGTGGGCCTGCACGCATCGGTAAAAGTGAGGACCCCCCGCTGCCCTTCTGCGAAAGAAAAGCAATACGCAGTGATCGCGGAGAGCCCGCGCAGGGTCCAACATTTTGCCGCGAATAGGTTCTTGCTTTGTTTGGTGGCAGGGATGGTGTGGAGGGGGGGCATGGTTCCGGGTCGGAAGACGAGGAGCAGAGATCAAGCTCTCAACGGGAACGCCACGAGTTGTTTCAGTTTTTCCCGCTTTCACAGGGCAGAGGTCGCCATCGGATGGACATCTGCTGTGAGCCAGGACTGACGTCAGGTGTGTGGCGCTCGCGAGGTGCGCCACGCGTGCTGGGTGTGTTACGCGCACCAGGCGTGCGCCGGGTGCTCCACGTCCCGAGCACGCCAGGCGCGCCACCTGCGCCCCGTGCTCCACGAGCGTCAGGGGCACCGCCGGGAGCGCCAGTGCACGCGGCAGCACACGTAGGGCAAGATGTCGACCCCCCGATCACCTGTGTGGAAGAATATTGCAAAGTGGTGGCGGGGCTGGCTTGAGGGGGCGTATGGCGTGTGAACCCTCGGTGGGTTTGCATTTGTTGTCGGCATTGATGGCGGGACAGCGCACAGCGGACAGATGCGATCACACACCAGCCCCCCCTCGCAAAAATATATGCAAAATGTTCGCGCTGATCCTGTTCAAGATCCAGATTTTGCAGCCGCGTGCATTGTGTATGTTGTTTTCCATGGATGGTGGGGAGGCTGATGTTTCCTGGTTGGCGGCAGGTCGGGTGAGGGAGGGGGTGTCTATGCAAAAGGAGCAGTGGTAAGTCAATCCCCGAAGGGGAAGAAGGAGGTTGGAAGAGAAAAACCCTAAGGCCCTAGACAACCTACGCCCAGAGGGCTGATGGAACTTGTGTTTGTGCGTGCGCTTGTGCGTTCATATGCTGCGCGCGAGGAGTGCCCTCGACGTCCTGCGCGAGAGGGACCACACCCAGAAGGGCGTATTCGCCTGCCGCCTCGATATCAACCCGCGCGTGGATTTCTTCCCCGGGACCCTCCTCGCCGACGGCGCCCGCGAGGCGGACCTGGTGCGGTCCGCCCCGGCGCTGAAGTCCTACGACCGCGACCCGGGGCTGCTGCTCTGGACGCGGTGGTACGACAAGACGAAGATGGCGTACGAGGCGGTGCCGCGCGAGAGGGGCTGGGACGCCGTCCTGGACTGGACCGCCACGGTGCTCCGCACCGCCTCCGTGCAGCACTTCTTCTCCGCGCTGCTGCCGCCGCCCGCGGACCTGGCCGAGCTGGACCGCCAGGCCCCGGCGGCGCGCACGGGGAGGGGCTGGGCGAGGGTCGACGGCCCTCTATATAAAAATAGATGATTCCAATGATACGTTCGTATGTCTTAGATGTTACTGCATACATGTTGCGTCTCAATTTGAAAACTGCCCACGGTATTCTATGTTGATTTGAATGTAAGGGGGCGGCGGGCTTTTGGAAGGCGCCTGGGAAGGCCGCCCCCCCCTCGCGCCCCCCTCGGCCTCCCAGATGGGGTCGAACAACAAAAAAAATCCCCCCAGACGCTCCAACCTCCCAGATGGGGTCGGAGTGGGCGGGGTCGGAGGCTCGCGCCGCATCGCCCATCGCCGACGCATCGCCGAGGCGGTTCGATGCGGAGCCCGACTTTCCTCCACGCCGACGTCGCCGATGCAGCGCCGACGTCGACGACGCATCGCCGATGCATCGCCGGTGCATCGCCGATGCATCGGCGAGGTGACGCCACTGTCCGACCTCATTTGCTCCGACCCCATCCAGGAGGCCTCTAGTCAAGGGAGGAAACATCACCCGGACCGGACAAGTGGCGTTTACTAAACGGCCCTGGGCGTTTAAATTGAGCAGCCCTGCCCTGTTCGATTCCTTCAGCGGGCGCGTTTACTAAGCGACCCCGCGTGTCGGGGTGGTGCGTATCGGGGTGGACTTTTTGCTCTCTATCTAGACATCTGGCGTTTCGGTCTGATCTGCCCCCCAGGGCTGCTGGCTTCCGCCCCGAGCACAGGACCTGTCTGGTGTCTCCGAGGCCCGGTAACCGCTTTCCTTGGAGGCCGAAAATATCAGCGACACGCCAGGCGCCCCCGTTGCTCTGGGCATGCCTTAAGTCGGGTACGTCCCTCCACAGGAGGCGTATCGAAAAGCAGTCAAAAAATAGCGTCTGGGAGCGAGTGTTTGCTTATGTCTTTCTATTTTTGGGCATGTTTGGAAGTATTTGTTGATGTGTACTGTTTACGTGTCGTCCTATGTTGGGCATTTTGGGGCATTTTTGGTTGGGCATTTGTTTTGCATGTTTGGTAGTAGTATTGTTTATGTGTCGTCCTAGAGCACGCTGCAAGCCGCCAGAGGCCGCGGACTGGCTCAGCCGGCGCCAGCGGATGAAGGTCAGCGAGATTGCGCAGTGCACTGCGTGCTACAGAGACCCGGTGCTGGTCACCGGAGGGCGCCACCTGAACATTTGCGCCGATCCTGCACAGGCCCATCCTGGGCTCAGGTCGGGCCGCCGGACGAAAGGGAGGGATTGGGAAAGGGGGGTTACGAAATTTGCTGCATGCAGCTGGTTTCGGCCCCGCCGCCGGGCCCATTCCTCGATGCATGGGCGCCTCCCGGCGCCGGGAGGCGCCAAGAAAATCAGCTACGTGAGCTGATTCTCAACCCCCCCCCCTTTGCTATCCCCCCCTTTCGCCCGGCCTGATCAGGCTCGGTGTACACGCTCTCCTGCTTTTGCGAGGAAGGCGCAGGCACCCATCTTGGGCCCAGGGTTGGCCCGGCCAGGATCGGCGTGGGTGCACACGGCTGACGCCTTCCGAGGTCAGCATCGACCCCTCAGAGTTCGGCACGCCGGAGGCGGCGGACGGTCTGCTGAGGGCGCACCTGCTGGCGAGCTGCGGCGGCACAGGCAAGCTGGAGCCGTTCGGGCGGCGCCTCGGATGGGAGGCGTCCGTTCCCCTCCTTCCCGCTCCCCTTTTCTTGCTGATTACCCTCAGATCCGGGCATCCGTCCTCCGATCTGATGTTTGGACCCCGAGGCTCCAGGGCTCCCAACCCCTTCCCCGGGGGCGGTTTTGCGTCCCAGGTCCGCGCTGGATTGTCCCCAGGCCCAGAAGCGGGGCCCGAGGCCCGGAAGCGGGGGGTCGAACTGACAGATCGAGAAGCGCCGCGAATGGAAAAAAGAGCGTCCGAGGTTTGGGATCCCCGCCCCGCCGCGGGCCCCCTCATCCTCCGCCTCTCCTTACCTCGGCCTCCCTCCATTTTTGCTCTCGCCGCCTTCTGGGCAGCAGGACGGCCTGGCTGCCCCAGCGTCGTCCACACGCAGTGGGCCCCAAGACCGTGCGGTCACTTCAACGTCGGGGGACACAATGGGAAGTCGAGGCGACTGCACGATTTGGGGACTTGAGTCGTTCTCCGAGGACGTCCCAGGCGACCCGGGCCCCCGAGGCCCCAAGACGGTGCCGTGGCGGGCCGTGCCGTGCAGTGAGGTTTTTTATCAAAAAATAACCATTTAGATTGTAGCTGAATTACTGGCGTTTCATTGAAATGCCTGCATGTTCGAAGTTGACTGGTTTGCTTCTATTGTGGCAAGGAACCTCACCAGACGGAGTTGGGATTCACAGCTCATCTCGAGCTGTGTGCTGGGCAGCCCCGGGGGCCCGAGGCTGGCCTCCAAGGAGGGCCCAGACCTGCGGACAGGAGGATGCCCTCTCGATCTCGGTGCTGCGGGATGCCCCGGGGGGGGTCCTGGCCCCACAGGTGGCCCCGGCTGTCCGCGCCCCTTCAAAGCCCCAGGGGCCCTCTCGGCCCCGTGGCGAACGCTCTGGAAGCCGTCTCGGCCTCCCCGGAAAGCTTGAGGCCACCCTGGGCCAAGGCCCCCTCTGGCAGCACCCTCTGCGCGCGGCGGCGCGGGAGGGCAGCAGGAGGCGCCAACCTCCTGCGGCGCGGGTTTGGTTGTCAGTCGGGCATGTCTCTCTACAGGAGGAAAACTCGAGAACAGTATCAAGTAGTCTGGGGACAATTTTTCGTGTTCTTCTGACTATTTGTGAGCATGTCTTGACAAGTTTTCATGTTCTTCCAAATTCCGCCTGTAGGAGGACATGCCCGAGTAAAGTCTAATCGCTGGTTGCCCATCAGGGTGCGGTGACCTTTCCTCTCGCCCGGTCCTGCCCTCCGGCGGCCCCTCTCTGGAGCCTCCCAGGGTCCAAACCGTCCACACGGGGTCCGAGCGCATGGGGCCAGAAGATCTCGCCGCATCCCCGACGCGTCTGCGATGCGGCGCACCGCCGATGAATCGGCGATGCGGTGCGATCTTCCGACCCCAGCCGGTCGAGCCCCCACTGGGGCGGCCCCACACCTGGGCCCCACCCCGCAGGCGCGGGAGGTCGAGGAGTATTTCCGGGGCGTGAAGCCGCAGCTGCCCGACGGCGCCGCGCGGGCAGTGCGGGGCCTGCTGGAGCCGGAGCTCTTCCGGCCGCACTACTTCAGCTCGGTGCGGGTTCCGGCGGTCCCGCCTGCGTGCGCTCTGCCGAAGGCCGGGGCGGCGCGCAGAACGGTGGTTGCGTGATTTCCCACCCCGAACCAAACCGCCGGGTCGGTTTTAGAGGTCGCCGCGGCGATCGCGGAGGTGTTTGTCAAGGAGTGGCATGCCCCTCCCCAGCCACCCGCCCCCTCGCTCTGCGATGTAGAGGTGGGCCATAATACACAAAGTAGCGACAGAGAATTGTCCACTCGTGTCCAACATGGGCAGTCATGTTTCGCGGGGCGGGGGGGCGGCGGCGAGCAGCTCAGGGTGCGGCGGGGTGTCTTATGGTCGGTGGGGGCGCGTTGGTTCAGGAGTGTGTCCAGCAGGCTTCAGACCCTGGAAGGTTCCTCAGCTGATGAGGGTGAGGGCAGCAATGGTATTCGTGGCCAAGCCTCAATTGGAGTTCCACCGGCTTCCAGATCCTGGATTCCTCTTCCAAGGGTGCGTTAGCCAATGCCATCACCGTATGGAGGTTCCCCCCCCCCTTGGCCCTCTGAGAGGCCTTCCTGCAAGAAGCCCTGAGCCCTCCTGCCGGATGCAGCTCGGTGCGGGTTCCGGCGGCCCCACCTCCGTGCGGTCTGCCCAAGGCTCGGCATCCATCGGAGCACGGGGATTTGTGTTCTCACCTCGAGGCTCGAAGTTGCTCCGCATGTTTCGCGTCTCTTTGGCCGAACCGCGGGAGGCTTCTCGGCCAGATCCCCCTCGAAACTGTGGCCAGGCGGCACCCCACGAGAGGTCCGTGGGTCAGTTGTTTTTGCTCAAAGTTGCCAAGAAGGAGAGGGAGTTCTTAGAGAGTGGGTTTGAGTCGGGCATGTCCCTCTACAGGAGGAATACTCAAAAATAGTCCGAAAGAAATGTCTGGGGGGCGATTTTTCGGTTATGTTCAATCAGAGCTTGCCTCTGTAGGGGTCCTAGCGGATTCATATGGTTAGGTGAGGTTTGTCACCGATTTCCGCGGCCAGCCCGGGTACTGGGGTGCCCAGGTGCCCTGGTGCCCCGGTCATTGGGTGCCTTATAGCCTTGTAGCCCTATAGCCCCATAGCCCTATAACCCCATAGCCCTATAGCCTTATAGCCCGATAGCCCCGTAGCCCTGTAGCCCTATAGCCTTTTAGCCCTATAGACCTATCGCCCGTATCACCCTACAGCTCTATAGCCCTATAGCCCTGGAGCCTTATAGCCCTATATCCTAGCCCTATATCCTTATAGCAGTAAAGCCATATCGCCCTACTGCTCTATAGCTCTATAGCTCTATATGCCTATAGCCCTGTAGCCCCATTGGCCTATAGCCCTATGGTCCTATAGCCCTATAGCCCTATAGCCCCATAGCCCTATAGACTCGTAGCCCTATTGCCCTACAGCCCCAGAGCCCTATAGCCCTACAGCCCTACAGCCCTATAGCCCTATGGCTCTATCGCCCTATAGCCCTATGGATCTATAGCCCTGTAGCCCTATCGCCCTATAGTTCCATAGCCCTAAAGCCCCATCGCCCTGTAGCCCAATAGCCCTATAGCCCTAAAAAGACTTTGATTTGGGTTTTTCCCCGGTATCAGTTTATTGTTGGTTGAATATGTTCTGGCTATGTTTCATATTTCGTCCAAAAGCCGCCTGTAGGAGGACATGTCCGACCTAAGGGTGGGTCCTGGAGAGAGCCTTGGGGTCCAGGGGCCGTTGCCACCGTCGGACCCTGCTCCTTCTCACCCATGCCATGGAGAGGGGGGCAGGGCCCGGTGGCGCGCAGGAGGTGGCAAGGGGCTTCGTGGAAGCCCTCCTCTGCTCTCCAACGAAGCCTTCTTCGAGGCCTCGCCTCTGCTTCTACGAAGCCACCCTGCTGTCCTGCTCTTTCTCGACGGGCAGCCTTCCTCGCCTGCCCCACCCCCCTCTTGGGGCATCTGCAGAAGGCTGTCGGCCGATCCGCACCGCTAGTCTCCTGGCTGGTGCCCGCGCGCAACGCGGAGCACTTCCTGATGGACTGCCTCTCGTCCATTGAGAAACAGAGCGGCATCGACGCGGGCTGCTGGGAGGTGATTGTCGTTGAGGATGCGTCCGAGGACGGGACCCTGGCAGTGGCGCGCAAGTTTGCCGAAGGTCGGCCGCACGTTAAGGTGATCGACAATCCAAAGCAGATGGGTGTCGGGGGCGCCCTTTGCGAGGGCTGGCCTCACTGCCAGGGCGACTTCGTGGCACGGCTAGATGCCGACGATCTGGCGGCGCCAGAGCGCCTACTCAAGCAGCTGAGATACCTCGAGCAGCACAAGACCATCTCCGTACTCGGGGGCCGAGTGCTCCCGTTCTGGACCGAGACGCGCAAGTGCACCGTCGAGAAGTGCGGAGACAAGTCGGCCGGGCGCGTCGCGGTGGTGGCCTGGCGGGAGTTCCACGGCAACCAGACATCCCGGCGGCGCGAGACATTCACCCTCGTCAGAGTCGGCGACGACATTGTCCTGGAGGATGCCCCGGCCGAGTACGACGGTTGCAAAGTCGTGAGGATTGGCGACGAGTCTTTGGTGCTCAACCCAGACAAGTGGCGCGAGGCCCTCAAGTCGGCGCAGGGCCACAGGGGGGACGTCACCTTGCAGAGGCGAGACCCCGCGGAGCAGGAGAGGGGCAGCCGGTTCCTTCACCCGACGCTCATCAGAGCAATGGGCATTTTCGAGGAGTGCCTCTTGGGCACCACGGCCACGTTCCGCCGGGAGCACTTCCCGAGGGACGACGGCCCATTCTGGAGGGAGGAGTCGGACCAGTGGTGCTGGTCCAGCCTGGAGCCGCACCAGCCCGCCTCGAATCTGGCAGACACCGTCGTGCACCAGCGCCGCCACGACGGGAACCGGGAGCAGGTGCACGCCAGGCAGGGGTCCCATCGATCCAACTCGGCATCGATGTTGGCGAGCTCGTCCCGATTTGATCCCGAGGCTCCCACGACCCGATGCGCTTCGATGCCTGCGTGGCGCTGCGTTGCATCCTGGCGCGGCCGATCCGATTGGATCCCGACTCCGTGGTCGATGCGGCCCGGTCCGCCGCACCTTTTGGTTCGGTCCAGTTTCCAGGTCCCAGACATACGACGTCCTGATTTTTTCAGTGCGGCGTCCGCGGGAAGTCCCGACCCTTTCCCCGGGGCCGGTCTGTCATCCTGAGCCGTTTTGTTGACGCCCCCAGGGGCCGGCGAGGGCCCCCACCTGCAGGGGTCGAAAAGAGCGAAAAATTGGCCGTCCGGATTTTTGACGACGCGATCACGTCTGGGGTCTGGTGCCGGCTGGTCCTGCCAGGGCCATTTCCGAGTCCGCGCTGGCCGCAGTGCAGTGCCACTTGACGTCCGCGTACGGCGTGGACGTGGACCTCCACGACGCAGCGGCCTTGCGCCACTTCTCGGGGCCGCGGAGCGCCGACCAGGGGCAGAAGCTGGCAGAGGTGCTGCAGCAGGTCGAGCGGTGCCTCGTGGCCGAGTGCATCCGCCCGAGATGGTGGGCCTGTTTCCCACCGCCACCACCATAGTAGGAGGGGAAGGGGGTCCTCCTCCTCCTCCTCCTCCTCCTCCTCCTCCTCCTCCTCCTGCTCCTCCTCCTCCTCCTCCTCCTCCTCCTCCTCCTCCTCCTCCTCCTCCTCCTCCTCCTCCTCCTCCTCCTCTTGCTCCTCCTCCTCCTCCTCCTCCTCCTCCTCCTCCTCGTCCTCCTCTTCCCCTTCCTCCTCCTCTCCTCCTCCTCCTCCTCCTCCTCCTCCTCCTCCTCCTCCTCCTCCTCCTCCTCCTCCTCCTCCTCCTCCTCCTCGTCCTCCACCTCCTTCCCCCCTCCAACTTATTGTGGTGGTGGTGGTGGAAAACAAGCCCATCACGAGAGCCGCGGAGGGCCGCGGCGAGTTCTGGAGGGACTTCGTCGAGGGCCGGGAGGAGCCCAGAGGTGTCCGTGGTGCTTGTCGGTTCGGCTGCGGTCGCGCTCGGTCGGCTCGGTCCGGGTCGGATGTTGTGTCGTTGCCGCGCCGCCGCGCCTTTCGAGGCTGCCTGCGGCCTCTCGCTGTCTGCTTCGCTGTCGGTCTGGCCGGCTCTCGACCCGCGAGGAGGCGCTGGAGCGAGCGGTCGCGTCCGCACGGGCCCAGTTCCAGGCGGTCGTCAACCAGAGGGCCGAGGTCGTCACCAGGGCCGACGACGACTCGCCGCGGGGCAAGAGGTCGCGCACGCCGCCGCGCTGAGCGCGGGCGGCGGGCCGCCGCCTCTCCCGCACCTGCGCGCTGCGCCTTCCCTCGGGGGGGCGTTGGGCGTCGTCGTCGTTCGAGGTTCTGTGGAGGACGCCCCCTCACGCGGCAGTGGTCCTCCTCTCGCTCATTCTCCTCCTCCTTTCTTACTAGTCCACAAGCAGCGCTTGCGGTGGAGGGTTCTTGATTGTTGCCTAACGAACTGGGCTGGCGTGTCGCTCTGGCGGCTATGTAGTCGCTGTCGCCGCCTCTTCGCCGCCCGTCGTCTGGGCTGGTGTGCCGCTCTCGCGGCTATATAGTCGCCGTCGCCGCCCCGTCGCCGCAACAAAGGTTGCTCCACATAGATTGCACAACAGTGGGTGCACCACATAGATTGCACAACATAAAATGCACCGCATGAATTGCACAACGTAGGTTGTATCACATATATTGCACAAGATATATTGCACAACATTGGTTGCACAACATGGATTGCACAATCGTGTGTGTAACACATTTGTATGTTAAATACCGCATCGGCTGCAATATGCATATATATATATGTATACATATAAAGTTGTTGCCCCACATAGATAGATCGCACCACCTAAACTGCTCCACGTAGCTGTCTTTATATATATATATATATATATATTCACAACTGATCTTGCACCACAGTGATTGCACCATGGTTTTATATGTACACACATACATATGTTGGTTCACGTAGAGTGCCGAACATAGATTGCACCACATAGGTCGCACTACCTGGCGTGCTCGACATAGTGCACAACAGGTCCTGCATCACATAGAGTGCATCACATAGAGTGCACCACTTAATGTGCACCACATGTATTGCACAACGTAGGTTGGACAGCATCACGTGCACCACATATATTGCACAGCGTATATTACACTACATCTATTTATTGTACAACATAGATTGCACCACAAGAATTGCACCATGTTGATTGCATAATATCTACTGCATGACCTATTTGGCACCACATAGATTGCACCACATGAATTGCACCACATAGATTGCCCCACAGCGGTTGCATCACATGTATGTCACCACCTAGATTGCACCACATAGATTGCACAACAGATGTTGCACATCGTAGCTTGCTCACCGTAGTATGCACATGACACATTGCAGCTCGTGTGTGTCCTGGATACTGCTGCCGCCTCCTGGAATCATGAGGCAATGGGAAAAGCCATCTGCGCGAGCTGATGCGCGAACCTCCATTTACCTCACCCCCGCTCGTCCGACCCGATGTTCGCAATTGTCGGTGTCGGAGCATCCCACGCAGCTCCTCCTCCTCCTCCTCCTCCTCCTCCTCCTCCTCCTCCTCCTCCTCTCCTACTCCTACTCCTCCTCCTCCTCCTCCTCCTCCTTCTCCTCATCCCCCCCCCTCCTCCTCCTCCTCCTCCTCCTCCTCCTCCTCCTCCTCCTCCTCCTCCTCCTCCTCCTCCTCATATCGCCCCTTCTGTCTGCACACACTACCCTGCCGGTCCTCCGACGACGTTCGATTACTTCGTCGTCTCCGGGGGCTTGTCGAAAGTGGTCAAGTCGGTCGAGACGCGTCTGGACACGGAGATCTCGCCCCATCGGCCGGTGGACTTGGTTTTCCACCCCCGGCTGGCGGTGTTGCAGGCGCTCTCCTTCCGACGTCCTCCCCCTTGCCGTGTGAGGCGGTTTTTGGCCCGTCCCCCCGGCCTGCTTCCTGGGAGGGCGTCCAATCGATGATCGTCTTCACTCAGGAGGCGCTGGATGTGGGAGATGTTTTCGGTGCCCTCGGGATGTTCAGGAAACTCTACCAGTCTTGAGCCGACGGCGCCGAGCGTGAGCTGGTTCCTTTGGTTGGCCATGCCCCTGTCAAATTTGGGTACCGGGTGCTTGGGCCCCAGCTGGTCTGGCGTGCTGTCTTTGCGAAAGACTTGCAGGTTCGATACCCTGGCCACCGTGCGATCAAGTGGCTTGGCCAACAGCTCCGTGCTCCCATCCATTCCTCGCGCGCGGACCCGTGCTCTGCTACTTCCAGACGTCTGAGGTCGGCGCTGTTGGAGCCGCCGCCGGCAATATTTCAGGCTAAGGACGACTACCATGCGTTGTTCGAGCTGGTGGCCAGTGCGGTGTCGGCCTCTGACGATCCTGATTCCTTTTCGGGCCTGTATTCTCAGGTCCACGAGGCCGTCCAGGCCGCCGACAGCAAGTACGCCGTGGAGTCCAGAGCTGACTGGGCCTCTTGGCTGAGCGTGGGGGTTCAGTCAAGGGCGAAACAAGTTCACATGCTGTTGCGTGACCCCACCCCGTGGACTGCTAGCAGCACTCTTTCGGCGGAGGGTGGCATTGTTTCGGATCCCTTGTCTCTGCTCAAGGCTGAGGGCACTCGATTTGCAGCCCTGTGGGGCCAAGGCGACGGGGCCGTCCCTACTGGTCAAAGTGTCGACCCTTTCCCCCGCTTATCGGCGCAGGAGACCCGTGACATTTCTGCTCTTACAAGTCCTTGTCTGCTGTATCTGCGGACAGCTTCCATTGTCGTCATTTCTCGATCTTGTCTGATACCAGCTTGGAGTGTTTCAGTTGAATGTTGTCCATCGTCGAGTATCTTGGTTGTTTGCCTCCGCCTATCTCGGTGGTTCTTCTGGCTCTGCTGCCGAAGCCCGGTGGTGGCTACAGGCCGATTGGGGTGTTTTGCTCGTGGTTCAGAGTTTGGGGGCGCTGCAGGCGTTCCCTCGCCTTGGACTTGGAGATGGCACACCCTCGTCGGTACTCCTCGTCGGTACTGAGACGCCGGGCAGCACCGAGGAGCTGCCGATGTCGTGTGGCGTCAGGCCGTTACCGCTGAAAGCGGAGTCGCCAAGAGGGAAACCAGTTGACGTGTTTTCTCCGATTCTGTCAAAAGTTTATGAACCATTTTCTGTGGCCAAACTTGAGGGGCGTTGCCGCAGACACGGCTTTCCCATGGATATTGCCAGGTTGCGTTGATTTGCGTATCGGTGCGGCCGATTTTTGAGTCTCGGCGGACGGTTGGAAGGTCTGTACTTTTGCCGATCGGAGGTCGTTGCTGGCTGCTCGATGGCCACTACGCTGATCCGCGTCTCCTGTCTCGATGGGTACGACAGTTTGCAGCTTCCCCCCCGCCTGGACCTCGATGTGTATGTACATCGATGATCAGGGGCTGTCTTCGACGGGACCTGCCGCGCAGGTCATTTCGAACATTGTGGCTGGAGCTAAGGCGTTGCACCGTGTCGTGCAGTCCGAGTTCGGTTGCTCCTTCGCTTTTGATATAACTGTGATCGTGTCCAGTTCGAGACATGCCGGCACGCAGATTTCAGCTGAGCTCAATCATCTGGGCGGTCAGTGCTCGACCTCGGCAGTGAACCTAGGTGTGGATTACATTGCTGCGCGCTCAGTTCGCACGGCGGGCAGGTCGGCCAAGCTGAAAGCAAGGTTGGCTAAGGCAGCCCGTGCGGGGAGGCGCCTCGGGAAGCATGCCGAGGCGCTCAAGAGGTCCACCGTCATGAAGGTCTTCTCGGCGGGGCTCTTAGCAGGGGCCTCCTACGGTACCGAAGTCACTGGTACTGGCGACCAGGACCTTAGACAGCTTCGGCGTCGTGTTTTTTCGGTGGTCGGGCCTCTTAGTCAGCTGAGGTTTTGAACTATTTACGCTATCTTGGACGGCGACACACCTTGGAGGACGGCCATGGCGCGGATCACCAGGTGGAGCAAAGAGGTTTGGATTAGTCAGACGGGGCCGTACAGGTGGTCTCTTGGGTTTCCCTTGCTCCGCCGCGCTTGGACGGCGTTTTTTTCTTCCGACGGTTGCTCATGGCGGCGTGTGGCCGGGCCGATCTCGGCCATGCGCATGTCGTTGGTGCGGCTCGGGTGGCAGATGCCCGATTTCATGACCCTCATCAATGATTTCGGGCAGTCCATCCCTCTCGGTAGTTTCTCCCCTGCCTTGGTTAAGGTCTTGGTCCGCGAAGGTTACTTCAGAATGCTGAAGAGGGAGTCCAGGGAAAAGAGGGGCTTGTTTCCCAGGATCTGTTACGATGTGGTCAAAGAGTGTTTGTCCCACCGGAGTCGCAAATTCTCCCTGCTGCAGAAAGCTCGGATTCGAGCTTTCGCGACTAAAGCGTTTCTCACAGTGGCCCGGGCTGTGCGCTCGGCTACTGCGTCGACCCGTCCTGCCCTTTTTGCGACGCCTGGGACGCCATCTTCCAGCTGCTGTGGGAATGCCCCCACCACCAGCCCATAGCGGAGGATCGGGCCGCGGCTGTGGAACAGGATCTGATCGATGCTGGTCTGGCTGCTCAGGCGTCTGGCGACAACGACGCCATCTTCGGTTTTACTTCTGGAGCCTTCCGGCATCCCCCCGGCGACTCCTATCCCCGTCCGCGCACTGAGTCTGACTATGATCCGATCCTTGTGTGGCACAAGGATATGTGATTCCGCCCGACGGCGCTCCTTTAGCGTCTGGAGTTTGGGGTGACTTGTTCGTCGACGGCTCGTGCTATCGCCACGTCATTCGTGAGCTGTCCCTAGCGGCTTGTTGCCTATGCATGTCCAACTCCGAATGTGAGGTGGTCGCGGAATTCAGGGCCCCCGTTTGGAGCCCACGCCCCCAGACCCCACAGAGTATTGAATTCAGTGCTTACACGTGGTCTAATGTTATTTCTCGTTTTCCCTCGGCCTCTCACGTCTACTCTGATTGCAGCAACGCTGTCCGCTTAGAGGATAGGTCGAAGGCCGAGCAGCTCTCGGCAAAGAAGATGTATACGAGTGCGTCTCATCAGCGTTATGCTCAACAGTCGTTCATTGCTGCTATCACTAAAGTTGCTGTCCACAAAGATTTGGACGAGGAAGGTCTCGATGCGACCGAACGGTGGCGTCGGTTAGGGGACCACCACGCGGATGCCTGCGCGAAGCTTGCCGTGGCCATCCACCCTGACGATCCGGACCAGTTGCAAGCTGCGGACCTGCTTGTCAAATATGTTCGTGCCACGCTCAAGGTGGCAGCCAGCGTTTATTCCATTGGCCAGCTATGGACCTGGCTTGTGTAGAGCGGGTGCAGACGCCGTCCGTTGCGACTCCCAGCGTTGGACATCGCTGAGATCAATGGGCGGGGGTCTGGAGGTGCGCGGTCTGTTTGCGAGGCAGTCGTGGTAATGTTCGCCCACCTCCGGGCCGATGCCCTCAGGACTCTAAGCTGAGCGCTGCTCGTCAGGACTCTTGGTCATAAGGCAATCGCGTTGGATTGCTCAGATAATTATGTTTTCTTTATTTGTGTACGCTGCAAGTGACATTCGACTGGCGGCCAAGTGCGCGGGCTTGCACACAAGAGCATTGCCCCGCCCACCCGTGCTGCTCGCTATGGTTGGGAGGCTCTGTGTGCAGGCAAGCACCCTCACTACAGCCGCTAGAAGCTTGGAGTCACGGTCGACACGTGCTTTCTGATTGAATGTTTTAACACGTACACGGATTAAGGTGTGCGTTGAAGGCGCCTGCACCTCCCTTCTTTGCAGCCGTTTTCGCTAGGGCTCTCCCTGGCATCTGGAGGCGCGAGCGTGGAGTTTTTGGGGAGTTGTATATATTTAATTATAGAACAACTCCTCCTCCTCCTCCTCCTCCTCCTCCTCCTCCTCCTCCTCCTCCTCCTCCTCCTTCTCCTTCTCCTCCGCCTCCCCGCCGTTTGTCCGACCCGCTGTTCACGATTGTTGGAGCCTCCCTTGCAGTTCCTCTTCGCGCACGCGGCTGGATTCACCCCGAGATCTATGATGTCACAACGTACTCTAGCCTTGAACAGAAAGAATCTCGAGCACCGAGAAGGTACCGAAACTTGAAGGTTTTCACGTGTCGGGCCTTGGGAGGCGATACTCGTTCGACTTTGTTTCGGTATTTGTCTGGCTGCTCGGAATTATTCCTGGGATGTCGTCCTTAAGTACGATGGGAGCAACATACCCCGAGATGCTGGCCAGAACTTTCCCCTGGACAGCTCCCAGGGTCGAGTTTGTGACCCCCCAGACAAGTCCAGGATGATGATCGAGAGATACTTGGGGGGGCGGCCCATCACGGAGTAGTGGCATGGAAGGGGTTGCAGACGCCTTTCAGTCCTTCGCAGGTCGCCTTTCCTCAAGCGTACGGGGCGCTGCCTTTGCAATAATAGCCTCTGCCGCGCCTCTTGCTCTTTTGTGTGGCTAGGGGCCCAGCAGACAACATGTACACGGCGTTCCCGAAAAAAGCGCGGTCGAAGTCGGCGCCGAGCGTAAGCCTTTTGGAGCAAGGCACCTTCTGCGGCCCTCGGCTGGAGGATTCTTCTGCATGCTTCTTGCCCCAGCAGTCACAGGGCACCTGGCTCAGCATCTTGGCGCACCCCAGGCCGCCTTGCACCTCCCTTACATCCCACCCTCGGTGGCTAACGTGTGACGGAGGTGGGCCAAGTTTTGTTTCGCTCGGGGGCCCCAGGGGCCGCCCAGCGCGCGCCAAGGAACAAAAACAGCACGTAAACCTCTGGCCGGAGATTTTAGCACGCCGTTGGCGCGTTGGGCCGGCGAACGTGGAGCATACGGGGTCCAGTTGCCGCCCCCCACCCCCACCACCCAGAGAATGTCATCTTTGCATCTTTCCAGTCTCATTTCAATGAAATGCATGTTCGCTTTGAGGGAGATCGGGTCTTGCGTGATGCTGTTGCGGGCCAAGGCCATCGCCACGTCGGCTTCTACGCCACAGAGGAGTTGGCGGCCAAGGCCCCAGGGAAAGTATCAAAGACATGCATGACGATACGCATTGCCCACCTTTCTCTACACACGCAAGGGCGAGGGGCCCAACAGGAGGCCGAGCATGCGTTGTGGCATCATTTGGGCGATTCGATAATAAAAGATGCGGACATATTTTATCCACGACACACAATGGCATTCGACTTTTTATCTGCGTCCATGCACGAGCTCCAGAGAAGGGATGGAGCGGTTGCGGGAAGCGCCTCAGTCATGGGCCACCAGGCCCCGCTTTGCAGCAGCAGGTCGACGATAGGATCGCATTATATGTCACCAGAGCATTGCTCCAAGTATTTGCGCCACGCACGTCTTTTGTTCCATGGGCTTCCCGACGTCCCAGGGCGTGTCAGGCATGGGGGAGGCTATTGTGCTCTTTTTGGAAGCCCTGCGATCTCCTCCCGACACTCGTCATCTGCACCGCGATGCCGACGGGGTTCCATGGCCACCTCTCTTCAGCCGCTGGAAAGATCATTGCCAGGGTGTAACCCCAAGGGCGAAAGAGCGCGAGAAGCATGCTCCCGTTTTCTCTCTGCCTTAACGTGTCGGCCCCCACTCGGGCGGGAGGGAGGGCAGTGCGGACTTCGCACGTTTCGAAGAAATGAACGAACCATCGGACCGGGGGCCCCCGGAGGTTTCCAGAGGTCCCCGAAGGCCTCACGGAGGCTTCTGGGCACCCACGAGAAGGCCGAGAGAATTCCCCAAGGCCTCGAGAATTCTCCCAGCTCCTCGGTTCTTTCCTGGCGCAGCGGATCCCCAGCAGTGAACACTTCGACCCGATCGATCCGATTCGATACCGACTCCAGCCGGGCTCGATCTGGTTCGATCTCAACACTCCGGCGGTCCGATGCGGCCCGCTGCATGCATGGCGCTGCTGTGCATCCTGGCGCAGCCGAGCCGATCCGCTTCCAGCTCCGCGACGTTGCGGCCCGATCCGACGCACGTTTCAATTCGGTCCGAGGAAGAAAAGGAGGAGGAGGAGGAGGAGGAGGAGGAGGAGGAGGAGGAGGAGGGAGGAGGAGGAGGAGGAGGAGGAGGGAGGGAGGAGGAGGATGAGGAGGAGGAGGAGGAGGAGAGGAGGAGGAGGAGGAGGAGGAGGAGGAGGAGGAGGAGGAGGAGGAGGAGGAGGGAGAGAGAGAGAGAGAGAGAGAGAGACACTCCCGCGGTCGCAGGTCGCCCCCTCGGGGGCCGCCGCGCCCGAGCGCCCGCGGCCGCGGGCACTCAGCGCGGGAGCCAGCGGCGCCGCCAGCTCGGCGCTCGGCGCCTGCGTCTCGTCGGGCGCTGCCCGCAGCCGCTGCGGCCTAACCCCTCGCCGCGCAGGGGGTAAGGCTGCTGGGGCGGCTCGCCCCAGCCGCCTCCGCGCCGCCCCTGGGAGACACCTCCAGGGCCACAGGCGCCGTGCAGGGAGTACTCCGCGTAGTACCCCACGCAGTAGCGTCAGCAGCTCCCTGCGTCTCGTCGGGCGCTGCCCACGTCCGCTGCGGCCTAACCCCTCGCCGCGCAGGGGAAAGGCGGCTAGGGCAGATCGCCCCAGCCGCCTCCGCGCCGCCCCTGGGTGACACCTCCAGGGCCACAGGCGCTGTGCAGGGAGTATTCCGCGTAGTACCCCTCGTCGTGACGCCAGCATCTCCCTGTGTCTCGTGGGGCGCTGCCAGACGCCACCGCGGCCTAACCCCTCGCCGCGCAGGGGACATGCGGTTAGGGCAGCGCGCCCCAGCCGTCTCCGCGCCGCCCCTGGGAGACACATCCAGGGCCACAGACGCTGTGCAGGGCGTGCTCCACGTAGTACCCCACGTCGGATCACCAGCAGCTCCCTTCGTCTCGTCAGGCGCTGCCCGCAGCCGCTGCGGCCTATCCCCTCGCCGCGCAGGGGGCAGGCGGCTAGGGCAGGTCGCCCCAGCCGCCTCCGCGCCGCCCCTGGGAGGCACATCCAGGGCCACAGGCGCTGTGCAGGGAGTTCTCCGCGTAGCGCCCCGCGTCGTAGCATCAGCAACGCCCTGTGTCGCGTCGGACGCTGCCACCATCCGCTGCGGCCTAACCCCTCGCCGCGCAGGGGACAGACGGCTAGGGTGGATCACCCCAGCCGCCTCCGCGCCGCCCCTGGGAGACACATCCAGGGCCACAGGCGCTGTGCAGGCTGTACTCCTCGTAGTACCCCACCTCGTAGCGCCAGCAGCTCCCTGGAGTGCGCCCTCGGAAGCAGCTCGCCGACCACGCTGCCCCTGGCTGGGCGCCTCCGTTGCCATTGGCTCCGCTCTTCTTCTCGAAGTACTCCTCGTAGTACTTGCCACCGCAGCCACTGCCTGGCCTCGGAAGCTGCCCATGATCTCTGCGCGGCCTCGAGCAGCATGTTTCCCGCTGTGGTTGCCGCTGAGCGCCTGGGCACCCATGATTGCCTCCAACGTCTGCTGCTCGAGAACCCCGCTTGCCCTTCCCATGGGATTCGGCCCATGGTCCTTCTGCCCGCTCTCAGTGCGTCGTCCCGGTGCCGCCTGAAACAGTGCCCAGAGACTTGGCTGCCGTGCTCGTCCTCTCTGCTGCGCACCTCCATCATGCGGTTGAGGCCCTGCTCCTGCCTCCTTTCCGCCGCGACTGCTCGGTTGGGGCCCTGCTCCTGCCCCCTTTCCGACGCGGTCCCTGGCGAGAACGTTGTCTCCGTCAGGTGGTTGAGGCCCTGCTCCTGCCTCCTTTCCACCTTCGCTGCTCGGCTGAGGCCCTGCTCCTGCCTCCTTTCCGACTCGGCTGCAGCGTGCACCGTCATCAACACCGATTCCGTCTTCATCGGCCGCGGGTAGGGGATCGCCAGGATGTTGTGCCACAGGGGGTACATCAATGACGTGGCGACGCTGAAGTCCCTCAGGCTCACTGGGCGCCATGGACTCAGTGGGCGTCCCCGTTCCCGTGCAAGCACTACCCCCATGTTGAGGATCGGTCGCTTCAGGATCTCCGTGTCGCGTGCGCCCGAGGATCGTGTTGTTGTCGTCGTCCTGCTCGCGCTTCGCCTTTTCCTTTGCCTTTATCCTTTCCATCATTGCTGCCATCTTGTGCTCGTACCCCGTGTCCTCCGCCATCGCCACAGGTCGAATGACACAGGTCTTCGAAATCAGAGGGGGCAGGGTCTTGGGCATTAGCCTACACAGGGGGATCGCCAAGTCCATGTGCCTCGCCAGCGTCTTGTGTGGGCCCAAACCCCGCCGTAGATTCGTCAGCACTTCTACGCCTTGTCGGGTTGGTGGCTTGCGCTGCCTCCTGAGCTTCTGCCGTCGACGTTGTTGTGCCCAAGCACCGCAGCCAACACAGACAAAGACCGTGGGGACCGCGTCGTCGCTGAGCCCGTCACCCTTCTGGTTCACCGCCACGAGGCGATGTCCGAGTGGTTGGTTAAGGAAGGCCTTGAGGAAAGTAGGGGCGCCAGCACATCCTTTGAGCATAACTTCCGTCCCTGGGCTGTTGATCTTCAAGCACGCCTTACATTGAAGACCGAACCTTCCTTCCTCCCACTGGTGCCATCCGTCGGTGCGCGTACTCCTTACCCTCTTGGCCTGGGCTGCTCGCCTTGTCCATCGCTCTTGAGCATCACGATCAAACAAGGGTAGCACTGCCGCAACCAACTTCGCAAAGTTCTTGATCCTCACAGTGGCCGTGTCGATAGCCTTCGCGAAATCCTCGCTGATAGTTGCATGCATCGCCGCACTAGCTTTGGCTCGCACGTCCGCATAGACATTGGCATATGTGAGCCTCCTTGTGGCCACATCCAGGCCAGCATACTCCACTCCCGAACGGCGTGCCTTCACGTGCGTCACGCTGCGGAGGAAGCGGAAACCAGGAAGGCTCTGAGCGAACATGGCCACGCACGCGTATGCCGACTTTGACCGTAACTGCTGCTCGTGCGTGAGAGCCGCCATCCTGACCGCACCCATGAAGTCCGCGTAGCCATCGGCAGGTCGGTCTGCCACTTGTCCTGTGCACGCGTAGGCTAGGTACTCCGCCATCGCCGAGGACTGCGGAAGCGACGCTGGCACTGGGGCGTGCATCGTACATAGTACTTTGTCCGAATGTGGATCCATTAAAGCGATAGCCCATCCAGCACGTTGGAGCTCCAGGATATCTGGCTTCGTGCAGCTCCCGTCGAACGAAAGCTCCATCTCCAGATCCGTCTCAGCAAGCACTGTTGCAGCCATGGTCTCGGGCGTGCAAGCTAAATCGCTGCCATCACCGTCAAGAATCACGCTGCCAGTGCCGAGTTGCATGTCCGGAATTTCCCACTCAGGATATGCAAAGGCCCCTTGGGTGACGACACGATCGTCTGGCGCTTGGCGGAGCTCCTGAAGGAAAGACTCGGGGATTTCAGCTTCTTGACGTGCTTCTACGACTTCTGGACGAGTGCACTCCG